TTTTTTTTTCTTCTTAGAATATCAGTAGTTAGTTTCGTCACAATAATCTACTTTTTAAGGGATCAAAAAGACTCGTCACATTCCAACCCAACCCAATATCCCCTCTCCCTCTCTCTCTCACATTCTAGCACACACATGTAGGTGTTATAGTTTGACTCAAAAAACACCACAACGAGTATCATCCAACCCAACCCACCTTCCTTTTCTAAAGTTTTCTTTGTTCTTCACGAGAAGGCTACTTTTCGCAACAAATTTGTAGTTCAATTACTTAAAAACATTCACTTTTACAACTTAAAATTCTGAGTTTGATTTTCTTTTCTTTGTTTACCCAGAAAATAAAATCAAACCAAAATACAATACAAATACACTGTTTCTAATCATCATTACTTTAAACTCTCCACTCGGTCATAAATTTTGAGGGAGCATCGGACAAAATCATCGATTTTCACAACACAAGTTTCAACCAAAAACATCACAACGGTACCCTCCATATATAAAAAAAAAACTCACTCTTCCGTCCAAGATTTCGACTTTTACTTTTCTTGTTCTCATCAAATCCCACAAATTATTTTGGCTTTATTCCACCTAAAAAACATACAAATCTTCTTTTTCTCTCTAAAAATCCAGTCTTTCTCTCTCTGAAAAACAAGAAGAAAGAAGAAGAAAAAGAATGCCATGTCCGCCAAACAGCATCAGCTACAATGGCAGCCAGTGCGCCTGCGCAGTTGGGTACATTCTAAACCAGACCGCCGCCAGCTGCGTCCTGTTTGCCACCAGTTCCACCATCTCCACCGGCGGCGGCGTCGACAGCTACGCCATAAGATTCGCGGGGACCATCTTCTCCTTTGACTCCATCAAAAAGTTCACGCAATCCCAAGCCGTCTTCTTGGAGGCCACGCTTGTGCTCCTGCTCTCTTGGCTCTGCTTTTGCTTCTTCCTCAGGTTTATCAAGCTCGACAACGATGGTCGGAGCATTTGGTTCCGGCTCCGGTGGTGGATTAGCAGATTGGATGTTTGCTTTGCCACTAGGCATTGGCTGGTAATTATCTTTTTATTTATTTATTAACCATCTTTTATTAGCCAAGCCATTTTTTTATTTATTTATTGGTGTTATTTAAATCTTTGATGCAAATTATGCAGCCGTTAAATGGCGGATGTGTGTTAGGCTAGTTGGTCGGGTAGTGTGTCCGTTTTTTTTCATCACTAACTTCGAATTCCCTCCTCCCGTAGAATAGAGTAGTTTCGAGTAGGAAAATGATAATCACACGCCATTTTTCTCTATTTATTTATGGCCATTGGATTGATTAAGTCGAACAAAAACAATAAAAAGAATTAAACATGGATGTGTAGGGGAAGAAAAAGGGTGTGTGGAATCTATTTAAAAGGAAAATTGTGAGAAATTCAGTTGCCGGTTGATATGTCCTCAAAATGTTGCTGCTCGGAACTTAAAAGGCAGTATTGTTTACGAATCTGAACTTCTTTTATCTTCTTTGTTCTTGGTTTCTTTGAGCCTATATAGTAGAGGTAAGAACATCTCTAGGCGAAGAAACGAGATTAAGGCATCATATGCAAACTTGTTATTTGGAGAACTGATCTGTCGTGGATTGTTTGTGTGGCTACTTGTTGAATGCACTTTCAACATTCAATTTTGTTAGATTATGGCAGCTTTACAAGTAGATTTGTGTTCCATTGCGATCTCAAGTTATGCAAATGGATGTTAACTAGCTTCATTTCCGGCACAGGATGATCAAAAAGTAGTTAAGAAACGGAAAACGGAACTTGGTGGAATGTTCTCAATAGCAAGTTGGATTCTCTTCATTGGTTTGTTTGCTGCGTGAGTATTTTGATATAATTTTTTTTCGAATCATCACTTCTTTCTTGCTGATTTTATTAGCTGTGCTGTGCAGATCTTTTCTGGGTTTCTATAAATTAGCTTATATTTACTTGGATTTTCAGTTTCTTCACAGGTTGCTCTACAAAAACATATCAAAAAGAAGTATCGAGGTGCATAACGTTAGAGCAACAAATGCACCTGATTTGGCCGCCTTCAAGAATGACATGGAATTTAACATAACCACGGTTTCTAGTATGAGTTGTTCAAACTTACGTGGTCTTGGTACTTTAGTTACTGGAAATCCTGGCTTCATCGACTACAGACTGGCTCCTCTGTCAACATTCGGGAACTACTCGTGTCGGAATACAAGTATAGGACCAACTATAAATCTTAGGTGCAGTAATTGTCAACCAATTCAAGACAATTTGTACATTTCATGGCAGTTCGTCGATCTTCCTAACAATCCTGCTGCTGCTGCTGGATTTCAGTTCACTCTCAGTACAAGGAGTCATGCTAACAAAAAGCATGTTAGTTTTGTTAGCGGAACCCTAAAGAATGGAAGTAGTTTGGATGATACACCAGTTACATTCAGAGGGACTACTACAAATGTATTAAAATTCAGTTTATTTCCCCAGATATACCATAATCATCATGATCTAAGGCTCGTCCAACCTCTGTTTCATGAGTTTGTTCCGGGTTCATCTTTCAGTGATGCAAGTCAGCTCCGAGCGTCCCTTGAAAATTCCAACGATGGAATGCTCAACAGTACATTATATATCAACTTTCTCTCTGCCTATATCGTGGAGATAGATAACCAAAACATTCTGGGTCCTGGTGAGTATTCTACATCAATGAAAACGACCCCAAAAAGATGAATGATTTTCTTGCTACAACATCTTAGTTAAAGTTTTGATTATCTAATATTTTTGTCTACCTTGACATGCAGTGAGGTTCCTTGCGGATATTGGTGGCCTTTATTGCATCTGCATTGGCATTTTTTTGTACCTTCTGGTGCAAGTACGTTACTTGATCTTAAATTTTTTTTTTTTCTTCATTGCTATGTTCATGTTCGATTATAAAGGTTATGAAGAAGGAAAGCCTAATGCAAAAATCTGGGTGAGAAAACTATGGTCATGGTTTCCTAATTTTGTTGTTTACTTTTGTAGTGTGAGTTCAGGATAAAAAAACTCCGCAATGAAGATATCGTGTTGCGGAGGATCAGAAATCGGCGAAAAGCTCAAGACCACTGGGACAAAGTAATTTCTTTCAAATTTTTCTATTTTAGTTAAATTCATATAATAACACTCACTGATACATGTGCTTTTAACTAGTTGAGGAAATATGTGATGTATACATGGGGCAGCAAGGCATTGGATGATTATGACGAGAGCATAAACAAGGGATCAGGTTGCGTTAGTTTTGGTACACAGTCATTTCATCGAAATGGATCATCACATAAGCTAAGGCAACAAGAAATGGCGATTGGTTTTAACAGGAAGCTCAGCTTGCCTAAGAAGAAGGTAATGTTCTATGTTTCTGTCTTTGTTTAGATCCACAGGAACCTGATTTCCAGGTTCTGATTCATAATGTTTTGTACTTTCTTTTTAAGAAAGTCACTTTTTTATTTTTAACTTTTTATTGATCTCGCAGACTGTGGTTCAAGAGTGCTCTGATACTGTTGGGAGTGTGAAATCATTTACACCGGGAACTACACTGAACCCAGAAGAAAGTTCATCGCATTCTGTGAGTCACTCTTCTTAAACCCGAAATTTGGGAATTCAAATCAATATTTGAGAATTCCGACTCATCTATACAGAGTTTTGAAATGCTGTATTTCTTACAATTACGTCACTCATCATCAGTGAACGACATTTTAAATTTGTGTATCTCTTTCAACCTTATGTCTTCAGCATCTGCAAATGGAATCGCTTGGCTCTACAGAGGATGGAAAACAGCAATTTGTTCGCGCATCTAAAGAAGATTCCTCCCCGCCTAAAGCCTTAACTCCGACAATCGATGATATCATTCCTCCACCACCGTCACTAGGTAAGAGCTAAACTCATGAAGTATAGCTGTACAGGGCTACCATCTTTTTTTTGTTCCATTCAAGGTCGGAGTTTTTGCTTTTTAAGTTTGTATCTCTGGTGAAATGATTGGATGAAGTACAAACTTTGATGGTTCCGACGGTGTATATTGAGATGAAATGTAAACTTCAGATACAAGCAGCCATTGAGTTTCGATTTAAAACCAGGATTGCTGGCGCTCTTTGCCAACTTCCGTGCTTACCTTAAATTTTGTGTTTCACTGCAGAACTGAAGGATGCTTCTGAAATGGATATGTCTGATGTACAAAAGAGTCTTAGAAGTTTGCACGAGTACAACGTTACGTTGAGGGAACAATTAGTAGCTGCGCAGTCTTTGCTCCATTCTTTAGCTACAAAATCCTCATTTTCTGTAACAGAAAGCCAAACGTAGCTTGCATGCGTGAGTGTAAATTGTACTCTCCGATTACGCTTCATATATTTGGCAAGAGTGACCATGCAAGTACAGAGCGACTGTAAAACCATCATCGTGCAGAAAACGTTAAGCAGCCGAGTTGAGTAAAAAGGTAAACTCCTCATGCCTATATACTTTAATGTGAGTTTGATCATCATTGATTCTCCTTCCACCAAGATTTTAAAAGACGTTAGGCGCTAGTCAGGCGGCGTGCTGAGGCCTAACGCCTAGGCAGACACCTAAGCAGGTCTAGATGCTTTTTCTTAATTTTCAAACGCCTAAAGATTAATCGGGAAGGTGGCCAGCCGTCTAGCGTGGATTATTAGATCAGTACCTCCCACTAACAACTAATACATACAAAATTAAATTTTTTTTATACAACGATATTGGTTTGGTGTGCCATCTGGTCATGCCAGAACCGATTTCTAGCGGCCTCCCTAAACTAAAAAGTGAAGAAGCTTGTGGGACAGCGAAAATAACAAGAAAATAGGTTTTAAGTTTGTTCTGTCAGAAATTTGGAGAACCGTTCGTTACAGCTCACACAATCGAGTCTAGAACAGGTTTCCGGCGGGCGAAATGCCTCTTGAGAACGTCCATGAACTTCAACAAGCTTACGGGGCAGAAATGACACGAAAATAAATCGTGATTGTTTTTGTAGGACTTCACGAAACTGATAAAAAATTGGGAGTTATAGCTTACACTTTTATTAAAACACACAAATTTTTCGAGTTTTCAAGAGATCTTTTGCTCGAGAAGTAGAGAAAATGTTAAGACAACAAATACATGAGGTCGCGAAACAGAATCAAGGGGGAAAGCATAATTTTTGAGTGGCGATTTATTCATGCTTGCACCACCAATACAGACGACTTCCATCATCAACACAACCTATTTTCGACATTGGCAGAAGCTGAAGAATCTGCTGCTTGTATCGGCTGGCTATGAGTATAATCGTTGTCCATCCATACAGAACTGAGCAGCCGCCAGCATTCTACCACCAAAAGGCTTCCCTCCTTTTGCCATGCATCTCCTCACATGCCATAAGAACTCTCAATACATGTCCGTAAACCATTCACTTGACTGAAGACCCAAGATGCTCCGGTGCTTGATGTGTACCGGGTACAAGATGAATGAAACAGCAAACCGATATACTTTTCTAAACACTTCAACCATTACTCCGTGCTATCATGCTTTATCTCGCTGCATTTCGAGAGAGAACCATTCTTCCCTGAACGCATTCCCAAGGCATTAGCAAACATCCTCTTTGCTGCTCCCACTTGCTCCCTTTTGATGTATTCCTCATCTACACCATGTCCACTTCTTCCATTATTGTCACCTTGTTTCTGGGATGTCTTCTTTTCACTTCGGGTCAGAGCTGGGCCACTATTATTACGGTGGTTGTTTTTCACTTCACCACGCGAGTTCATATCTCCGTTTGAAAGGGAGACTCTATGCTGAAAAGATTCTGCGGTCAAATCAGCCTCATCTACAACATTGCCTTGAACACGTAATTCATCAGTCTGCCCTCCAGAAGCTTTGCAATGCTCGTGAGGAGAACCCTGACTGGATGGATTGATTCTCTGGCCTAGTGCATGCGCTATCATCCGGCGGGCAACAACAGGGTCACTACGTGGCTTCTGCCTGACAGATTCGTTTACCTCGCCCAAGTCTCTTGAAAATATTCGCTCTCGAGCAGCCAAATAAGCTGCTTCTCTCTCCTCAAGTGAATGTTGGAGCAAAGGTGGTTTTGTTCTCAACACTAGAAACAACAAAAGGCTCCATTTAGCATGGATAAGAGAATGATAGGAGATAAAAAAAACAGATTTCTACATAGCCTACATCAAACCGAACTGATTGACCAAATCTGTTATGAAACTAGATATCTAACCATCTGTAGCATAGCTTGAGACTGCAAGATTACAACATTAGATTTTAAAATTAATACAGATTAAGAAAACTAGCAAATGGTACAATTGTTTATTGCAACTGGAGCATTTAATTACAGTTCATAATATGAACACCAACAATATGGAGATGATCGCATGAGAACGATACTAATTGTATTACTATCAAGCGTCACTATATTGCACAAGATACAGCAAGAACGGAAAAATAAGGGAAATTCATTACCTGGGGGGCTTTCGGTCCTCTTTAATAACAGGTGTGAAGTTGTTGGAGAATCGGGCTCATCATACTGCCACAAAATATCACCAACAAGGATAGAAGGTCTGCAGCCCAAACACACTGATTAATAGAAGAAAAACAAGGACACTCGACTGAGAATTAGGTCTATCAATCCTAAACCACTTTCATAACCCAAATCACTGTTAGTTTGTTGACTTCAAATTCCAAAAGAAAAACAAGATCGATGTTGCTTAGTTCAGTCCGAAGAAATCTGATACCTATTCTACACGCGTTGAATTCTAGTCAGACAAGTTTCTCTTATGCCATATATCAAAAAGCATGATTACATCGAAATTCCAACTCTTGTACCCTAACCCTTTAACCAGTCTATTACTACTTCCAATGCTACAGTTTTCAAAATTACTTTCACCCTTCCCCACTCATCCCACTCTACTGTCTATAAAAGAGCACTCATTTTCTTTCCTGCCACACTGTTCATAAACTAGACAATCTTCTCATATCCACACCCGTTCATGGAAACGCTTGGGAGTCTGATAAGTACAGATTGGCAGACAAGATACTTGTCTTATTTCAACTTATGTCTTTCCGTCCCACAATGTGAAAGAATGCATGTCAACATGCAAGGTTTCCAACAAAGCCTCGGTAATTATATTTTGTGCATAACATCATACATCATGATTTATAAGCAAATAGGTGCAGCAAGTAAAGAAAAAAATTTATGTCAACAAATTTCCAGGTCATACATTGAGGTCTCTGGGCAGCGCTCCAAAATTAAGTGCCGCTCCTCTCCTTCACCAACAGATTCATGAGAAAACCTAGCAAAAAGCAATATATGATTACCCACAGAAGTCAAGAACACGTGAGCTCAACAATCTTCAACAAAAACATTATTTACCCAGCAACGAAAAGGAAAGATATGACACAAAACATATGACGGAAAGGAGAATACCCAAATATATCCGCAAGACGATGCAACAGAAGACGGTTGTATGAGTTCATTGGTTCCAACTCCAAGACCCCACTGGAACTGCAACCCAAATTTTTTATTGTTCATATTAGTAGTCACAGCACAGACAATGATTACAAAAGAGGTTCACAGGATTTCCCAGTAATCTTAAGGTCTACATCAAAACAACAAGAATCTACTCTGATCAGCAGAAAAAGAAAAAAGACGAAAACATCTGTAACACCCACAACCAGATGCTACAGAACACCAATCGAAACTAATGACTTCTCCAGTTTTACCCTAGCTATACCATGAAGAATTGCATCACTCCCGCTCGATATAATCTTAAGATTTTACTCTAAAAACTAATCTCATTAGAAAAGGCAATGCTGATAACATTTAGCAGTTTGTCTTACATGCCTGGTATCACTCTGAAGGAATTCCACCAAGGACTCTTCCACTGAGAGAATAAGATGCTTGCAAGTAAGATTGTCTTTGACAAGAGAAGCCAATTCCTCAACCTGCATTTCGGTAGCATTCTAGTATGAAATATCGAGATTCAAACACGAACTCCCGCACTGAAAGCATATCATATGTATACAACTGACAAAGATTGGTCTAATCTGATGCTTTGACATTATTTTCTAAAATTCTCTCAGAGGTGGCAATGTGCAGATTTAGCAGAACAAAAGATTTATGCAACAGCTCTCTTAAAATTACATAACCTTATATGGGGTTTGATATAAAGCTTACTGCCTTCGGGGTTTAAACCCTCCCTAGTCCCTAGCCCCTGCTTCCTAGTTTAGAGTAGTAATTTCGCTTCGTAATTAAAAAGCTTAAATCATTAACATTTCAAATAGAGTGATAGGTAAATTGAAATTTGAAGCGCTAAACTCCCAAAATTTATAATTTTTAGTTCATAAAGCAAGAAATTAAACACAAATTTTTTTCTATAAAAAAAGGCACTACCCAGAACATATGATTGGAGCATCATTAAAAATTACACAACTTTTTCCTAAATTCATAGCAAAATCGAAAGAACAACCAACAAACAACATTAAAGCTAACGAAAAACATACCATGGCGAACTGGGTCAAACTCATGTTGTCGAAGAATTGAATCAAATTCCAGGAATTTCTGAGTCTCTCTAGAGAGAGAGAGGGAGAGGGAACGGGTATCTCTCTCCTCGTTGAGATTTGCTTCAACGGTGGTGGGTGTTTGGTCGTGGGTTCGTTCCTCCCTTGTCAATCTATCGTCGCACTTGTGTCTGTCGGAGGACATTAAGCAATAGTCTTACCCATCTCAGGGTCGGCCAACGTGACTAACCAATGATATCCTGCCACGTACCTCTTGTCCTTTTTTGTAATTTCAACTGCCTCAATTGCCCCGCCCCACATTTCTTTTCGTTGCTCTTGAAAGAAAAAAATGAATACGATCTTCACTCATCCCTTGTAGAGTTTAGGTAATGAATTGTTGGTAGCGAAATTCGAACTCGGATGCGTAGGGGAATAACATTCGTTTATACGTTAATTGCGATGTTAGCAACAGTTTAAGTTCACAAAGATTGATACGTCCATGGTTTATTGGATTCAAATAAAATGTTCTAATTCATCCGAACCCGAACAGAACGAAAGGTTATAACTTATACATAATGAAATCGTAGTTCGAATGGTTATAACTTATAAGCACTTCTCTAGCACCCAAAGTCTGTGTGTTCGGTTCCTCCTTCCACAACATCCACAAATCCCCATTCACCAAAAGAACAAGAGAAACCTTTTGCATATCTTCGTATAAACTGTTTATGAGCACATTGCCTTCTCCAATAGTTCCTGCAACTCCCCGCTTTTATATGCATCTGCAAAGAACATTGTTTCATCAAGATTTCATCTTGCAAACTCTAATCTATCATACACATCTGTACTCGGCAAAATAAATCCGTCAATGAAACATCAAGATCACATCAAAACCTAATTCCGTCATTTAACTCTCAGTTCTTATCCTCAAGTTCATTGTACTTAATTCCATTGATTATGTGACTATGAAGACGAAGAGTAGAGGTGAACCACGAGTTTGCAGATAAAAAGCTCACATACATAATAATTAGGTTAACTTACCAACAGTGATGTCACAGCCTCCGAAAAACTCTCCTTCAATGTAGAGTTGAGGAAATGTTGGCCAACTCGAATACTCCTTCAATCCCTGGCGCAAAAGTTCGTTTTCTAGTATGTTTATTGTTTCGAACGGTACATTCAAAGACCTCAATATTTGTACGCAGGTGTTTGAAAAGCCACATTGTGGAAAATCCTTTGTTCCCTTCATAAAAAGAACCACTTTGTGTGAAGTAACAACCTTGTCCAACGTGTTCTTCAGCTCCGGAGTTAATGCTGCACAAAAAGGGCGGAGCGATGGGGGATGAGAGAGTTAGTACCTTGTGAAACATCAAAAATCTGGACACTTTACAAGAACTTCCGACACTATAATCCAATCCTGAAATTTTAAAATAACGGGTACATAAATGATAAATCTTCTCTCCTCGACCAGCTGCTAAGGAAGGCCTCATTCGACACACAATTTAAACAACAGTGAATCGCGCTAATAGGCAACGTAACAATCACTTGAACGAAGTATGCCACTTTGGCCAATAGTTAACGGTTTAACATCTATTATTCGACAATAAATATTTACATTCATCAGACCATGACAGCAACCAAGATCCTTATGATAATTGTGACTAATTTGCATAAAAAGTCTCCTTGTATCGAAGAAACTAGACTCCAATTTGATACATTTAGCATCAATCTTACTGCCAATCAATTATTTTACTAGAACAATTACTTCTACACCTGTTGAATTTAACAGAAAAAAAAAATCAATTCTTGTAATCATCGTCCAACAAGCATCTTAATTTTCGATATACCGATTCAATGACATCAAATTCATCCAAATTAAACACAACCCAAATCCAAAAACGTCGAAATTCACAAGAAAATCTGCCTAGATTTACCCAACATAAACAACCAACAAGCAGACATCGAACTGCAGAATTAGAGCAATAAACAGCAGAATATTAGTGAGGGAAAGATAAGTGGCGTACCGGCGTAGCATCGGAATGAGAGGGTCTTCTTCGAAGAAAGCTTGGGTGCGAAGGACGCGTAATATGAAAGAGAGACGGCGGAAGGAGGGCAGGGACGCCGAGAGGCACCGTGGAAGTGGAGTGAAGTGAGGGAATTGGTGGGGGATGTGCTCGCAGCTCCAGCGAGAGGAAAAGAGGCAGATGGAGTTATGGTTTTTGAGTCCAAGGCCCCAACACACCACATCTTTCGAGACTTTGCTTTCTTTCTTCAACTCTCTCTCTCTCTCTCTCTCTCTTCTCCCTCGTTCTCTCTCTCTCCTCTGTAAATTTCCAAGAACTGGCAGCCACAAAGGTATGAGGGAAAAGGTTCGGTAAGTCGGGCGCTGTGATGAGGTCTATAGTATGGTTGTGGAATTTATTTATTTTTTAGGATGAGAAAATATTCACCTGAAAAAAATAAGAAATACACGAAAGAAATTTTGCTGACGGCGTTTTATTGGAGTGTCGGAAAACGATGTTGTCTATACACCATCCTCTTGTAAACAAAAATTAAAAAATAGAAATGGAAAGTTTTCACTGATACAACGATATTGTGAGTAACCAACGACTTGTCAAGTGAGAATGAATACTACTAAACCATAATATTAATAGAAAAAAAATAAGTACTTTTGTTTTTAATACGACGATATCCTATTCTAACTCAACGAGATATTTGACTCCGGGTAGAAAATATTCGATTAAGCAACACAAGAGTTAATCAAAATTAGGTGTGAAAACTCAATAATATAATTATATGTCATTGCTACCTGAAGCCTCGTCCTTACAAGTGAAAATGAATATTGCTAAACCGTCATTATACAAGACTACAAGTTAGTGTAGAAAAGAAGATAATGTTTGTAAGATTGCAACAAAAAATAAGTTTCTTTTGGATTGGTAAAATATTTTTCATTGACATAATAGTTTCTCTTACATGTGGGAAAATGCTTGAATTCGATTGCCGGATCACATCAATCGTTTGACGCACCTTGTAAAAGACGAACCCTTGTATAGTTGTATTTGGTCTCACTCAACCTCACACTACTCCCACAAGCAAATGAGCTTCCACGAAGAAATAATGAAGGCCTTATTATCTTCACAGTTGTTCATCTAGCTATCTGGAAGTTGATCAGAAAGATAGTTTCGTTCTGGGAAAATCTTCATTCCCAGCGTGAAAGCAACTGGAAAAACAATTGATATAAATGACAAATGAAACACAATAATGGATGAAGACGACTATTGTTGTTGAAGATTGGTTTGTTTCGTTTAAATATCAATCCCCATCAGTGAAAGATCTTGACGAAGCGAATCTGCATTTTTGAAATGTAGACCGATCATGCCAACTTCCTTCGCCTCCTCTACATTTCTTATCCTGTGATGAAACCATGAACCGACAAGACTAATTACAATGTGAAGTTAATTTCCTTCAATGTCTCCAAGTTTTACGCCTTCAGAACTTGCACAGACCAACGTGTTGAATTCAAACGAGACTCTAGATGAACGTAAGTAACCAACCAAAAGAAATGCTGCAAGAACTTCAGTGCAATGAAAATTGTGTCGTAACAAACCTGTCATCGACAAAGATACAGCTTCCCGGATCAACTTTTAGATGGCTCACAACTTCCAAATAGAATTCTGGGTCGGGCTTCCTCTTCCCTGAAACGCAAAAGTGAATAGGAAGAGACTTGAGACGTTCATGTAGATATGCTTGTGCAGCTAGCAGATGGAAGAGAATCTCAACATGTGTAGTGTCAAACCACTTAACATACCGTTTATACATGAACAAAACGTCCAAGATAAATATTTTGATACGTTTAGTTTGTCCTTGATCATCTCATGCATACAAAATCAATTTCCTGAAAACATGATAAATTGCTTGACTTAATAAGAAAACAAGATCGTCGAATTTTCATCTAACCAGATGGGATAGTTTGTGAAAGCATGCATCTCGTAGTTGTTATCTTTTAATACATAAAGCAATTCTTCAACACCTTCAACATAGTAGTATCCTTTTCTCATGCAATTTTTCAGGCCTGCAAAGATCAATGAAGCACTTTCCTGTAAGATTCAGAAGTAGAGCGCATAGATAAAAGCAAATTATATGAGAACGTAATCATGGCAAAGTACAAACTTCAGTTCTGCAATATCTCCAATCAATACAATTGACAATAGAATATTTTGAAAGTCGCTCAGAAGCAATTTCTGATAAAGCTTTCAAACATAACGACGGAGATAAAAGAAATTATCAATTCCTATTATAACTTATGATTTTGGAATCAGTACAACGTATCTACACTTTGCAAGAAAAATGTAATTCGGGATACATACTGGAAAAGACTCTGACATACGAACAAGACAATGTACTCCGTTGAGTCAAATGCAGTCGTGACCAATCAACCAAAAGGAAGGAAAAATTTGCAGTCCTGGCCAGTTTTAGCAGAGACTTAATACAGTGTTCCAATCTCACCGCCAACATTTTACAATAAGATATCATTTTCCCCGCCCTTTTCAAATGCGAATCAAAAGGATTGATTCTAACAGGAGCTATATTATGTTTGCAGATAGGATGCTGTTTCACATTCACCACGTACCTATAGGATGCTGTTTCACATTCACCACGTACCTAAGAGACATGAAAAATACTCATATATTGAGATTTCGATGGCAAACAATTTAAGCTGCATAAAACTTTCACAAAAAAAGCGAATCCCACAGTACATAAACCATTGCTCTTTTCACTATCAGTTCCAAACTTCATCAAGCACGAAAGGGAACCATTTACACAATAGATTATAAGCAACAAAAGAAGCAACATGAAAAGCATTTTCAAGTCAGACGAAGTACATTCTTACTAGTTCTAGCTGCTAAAGAATAAGTTAAAACTAACGAATGATTCAGTATTTGAATTACATAAAAGACGCAGACATGGCTGGAAAATAGTGAGGAACTCCAACTGACCTTCCAAATCTAGAGGTCTTCCATCCTTAAATAATGTTCTTGCAAGCTCCACCTGGGGTAAAATAATTTTGTGACAGCAATTTGACATGCTATAGCAAGGACAAAACACACATACTTCGAAGGTATAATTTTTGTTCAGTTTGAACGTTTATATATTTTTGTCAAACAAGCTCTTTATGGAATGGGACTGCCATGCATGCTAATTACCATAAACAAATATATCATGCAGAAATGTATTTTTCTGAAAATCAATCTATACATTGTACAAGCTCTATTTTTCTAATTCATAACCAAATCCTCATTATTTTTTTTCTATAAAATATATGGCAAATCCCCATTAACTAATTGCCAAGATTAATTCTTTTCTCATCTCAAATACGGGCATGATGGCATTGTTGCTACTTTAGCGAATGCCATTATTATATTGAACAGAATGAAATGGCAAACAAATTAAAAGTAGGGCTAGCCCAGCCATGATTTTTTCTTTTATTCTCTATTTTGTTTCTTTTCTTCTTACTTAGATGGATAAATTGCATCTAACACGAACTTAAAACTTTGGTGAATCAGAGTATACACCCTCTGTGTGTATCTGTTGACTCCAAAAATTACAAAACCTACGTGGCGCGCAGGCCGAGTAACTAATAAGCTAACTACGTCCTTCGGTCGAATGCGGGGCGTGCCAACTCGTCGGCCGAGCCTGGCCGAGGAGTAAAATTTGTTGATGTAGCTTTGAGCGCGTCACTGACTTCTTTAACTTGCGATTGCGACCGAGAAAGGAACACTCTCGGTCTCTGGGTTCTACAGCCTGAAGACAAGGCTGCTAATTCTGCGGAGTTCACGAATCGTCCGAGCCCGATTCGGTCACTGTGATTATATTCGTGAGAGTATAAGCACGTCGAATCGAGACCAAGGTGTATGGGCACAGGTACTCGAACGTGATGTATGTCTTGATGGTAAACGTAGTTCGGCCGTCGGAATGCCGAACCCTGAAACTCACTTGTGAGTATCCAATCATAAAACCACTCGGCGACCAGTACGCCGAGCAATGTAATTCGTAACACCTAACTATGCCGAGAAGGCTAGCAAGGTGACCTCTGCCAACAAAGGTTCGAAAACCTTTCTCGACCGAGACTTGGATAGATAATCGGTCGACCTCGACGCAGTGCTGTTTGTCCAAACTGAAGATGCTTCTCGGTCGGCTGATTCTGCGGCAGCAGTGCTGTTTATCCAAACTGAAGGTGCTCGCCGGGCGCTTCCACAGTGCTGTTTATCCAAACTGAAGGTGTGTCGGCAGGAAAAGAAAAGGAAAAAATCTCAAGGTGTTGAGAGGTTTTGCGCAGGGCAATTGTATGCTGATTTGAAGGTCCTTTTTGTTTGCATGATTTCTTGTATTTATAGTGCCCCATTCCTTGAAACCGACTCCGATTTGGATTGGGAGTCCTTGTCCCATTTCGCTTCTTCTTCGAACAAACCTACTCCTACTGGGATTCTGAATTTTCCTTCTTTTCGGGACTTCATTCCTTGCTGGTCGAGAATCCTAGTTGCACCAGGACTTCCCCGACCTTTCTATTTATCTGGACTACTTATGATAGGATTTGGCCGACCCTGTTAGCTGGCCCGGGCCCTATTATTCGGCCCATAGTATTTATCATCTCCTTGGGCCGAGCACATCCTGCTGCTCGGCCCAGCAATAATATTTTGGGCCAAACAGTATCCCTCGTCAAGGGTATATACACCTTAAATATTTTGTCCTCACTGGAAGATGGTATACCAAATTAGAAACAATGGAGCCTTAAACACATATGCTTGATTTTGAGATATTCAAGTTTTGGAGTGTAGATGTCAATCTTCAATATAATTTTATGTCGCTGAAAATATGCTAGGAAAATATGTTGATGCTCAACTATAATGTATTTAATTTTTCAGGCATCAATTATCTCAAGTGATGACCTTAGGCCTTACAAGAATCTCATGAAGGTGTATGCAACACGAACACCTCTGAAGGATTCAAGTCTACAAGAGACGTCTCATTACGGAATATAACCTTAAAGCCTTTGACCTTGGGGCGCCCCGCTTCAGAGAACCCCCAGATAAGCGTCCGCTCCTTGCCTTCTTTGCCGGTGCTGCTCATGGAAACATCAGGAGCGTTTTGTTTGAGCATTGGAAGGAAAACAATGATAAAGTTCAAGTTTACGAAAAGCTCCTTGAACCTGAACTACCCCAAACTAATGGGACAAACCAAGTTCTGCTTGTGCCCAAGTGGGTCTGAAGTGGCACGTCGTAGAGTTGTGGAGGCAATGTATGCAGGGTGTGTCCCGGTGTTGATTTCTGACTACTATGCAGTACCATTTGATGATGTTCTTGATTGGAGAAAGTTTTTGACACAAATTCTGCCCAAGAGAATATCGGAAATCAAGACAATATTGAAAGTTGTTCCATCCTCAAATTACTTGAAATTGCAGAAGAGGGTGATGCGTGTAAGAAGGCATTTTGAGCTCAACCACGCTATCAGCTAAGCCCTACAACGTATTTCACATGGTGCTTCACTCGGTGCAGCTTAAAAGGCTCAACGTTAGATTACCAGATTGGGTTTGAGCATCTTGTCAAGTTTCTGATAAATTTTTTTTGTTTTTTGCATGAGATTGAACTCACTATATATGATGCATCACTGAGTTCAGAATCTTCAGATATGATATTTTATTAAACTCACTATGATGCACTCAATAGTAGTCAAGCTTGCAAGTGGCCCCTTACCACAGTGACAGAGATGAGTGTTGTCTTTGTACCACGACATGGATTCAAACCCCACTTCTCACCGTCGGCTCCTTAATCTAACATCTAATTTAATAAATTTATCGTTTGACAAAAAAAAAAAAAAAAAAAACTAGTAGTCACTTCTGGCCCCAAGCTGATCAGGTAACGGCATATCGGGTCACATCCCTTCCAAAGGTAAACTCGACAAGGACCTTCTACTTTCTTCTTTGAAAGAAGTCACAGTTGACTCAGAGAGTAGTCTTCAACATTTCCTGCATACGGGGTATCATCAATTTAATTGAAATACCACTATTCCGATAACCAAGACTAATCAATCACTGTCATGGTTAAGAAGATTCAGAATGAATACCCTCCAATATAGCCAAAACTAAAATGAATAGTTTTGTAATATTTTTCCTTTTGCCTTATAAACTTAGAAGGTGTAGTTGTTTGTTAACTAAATATGTGATGTTAACTTGGGTTAAAATAGGAGTCACATAGAGGAAATTTACCATTGACCCACAATTGTCCCACGGTTCCACCACCAACATTTACTCCATAGAATATAAGGGCAGTATATATTTGAGATGCAATGCAACAGCAACATCCTGAAGAGGGCCATGCATGCAATCTTCTTGCGTTGAGTGTGTCCAAGATCACCGACTTCCAGTGAAAACCTCACCACCAGACCTTTTTTCATCGACAGGATCGAATCTTAACCGACTACGTATATTTATATTGTAGCAAACTAATACCCTTATTGGAATAGGAGCGGTGGAGTCGATCATTTTTTCGTCTCACCGACTGAAACTTGAGTAGGGCCGCTGGTACAGTACTATGAAAGGAGGCTTTCGAGTGATACTATGAGAGGAGTAGGACTTGGTGGTGTTGTGGGCGTCGTGGGGTGTAAAAGCCATTGTTGTTGCTCTGTGAAATCGAAGAGTCCTAGAGGGAAAGGTATCTCGATTGGGTACTTCAAGAACTGGGCCATCATTCAACTGCCTCCCCCTCACCATTTCCCTCAATCTTTGACCTGCTTGGTTTTTATTTTTATTTTTTTCTATGAAAAATCCAATAGATTATTACCATTGCATCTCCACGGTACGCACCCATTTTCTGTAAGGGCTAAATCTGATAAATGCTCCTTGGTAATAAGGTATTTAAAAGATAACATTGTTATTAAAAATTTAAGAATTAAAAGTCTTTAAGGAATAAACTCCAAATTAAAATTTATGTAAGTCATTGTAAACACAAAAATCTTGCGACAAATGACAAGATAACATGTGTACAAAGTAATAATTGTATTGATGAATTTATTGGGTTACAATATCTTTACAATTTGATCCTCTGATTCGATCTTCAAAATATGTAGACGTGTAATGTAGGGGTTATTGATCCAAGGATCGCGATAACTTGATCTTGGATGAAGGATTGCCTCACGGATTTGGCTTGTGGCAAAGGAAGAACTAACACATGTGGGGTGCTTGATGATTCTTCAAAGTTTTGGCGAAGAAATTCTTCTGATTAGTATTTGGGAATTTGGATGCTTGAGAGTTTTAGAGTTTCAAAGCTTCAACTTCTGGACGTGGAATGATTTCTGGACCATTTTCTTTGCCTTGGAGCCTCCTATTTATAGACTCTCCAAACTTTGCCTACGAAAAAAATCAGGACTTGATATGTGTCTCAGTTCGTGACTTGTGATTTTACTCCATCAATTAATATTTGATTTAAATAAATATAAAAAATAAATAAATCAATTCATTTAAATTATTAATTTGTTTAATTTTAATTAAAATCAAATAATCCCTTTATGTCATATGTTGACACCTGTCCTCTTCATGACTCGTCTGATTCTGATGAGTCACATGTCATGTGTACAATTTGTGAGACACGTAGTACATGTCACGTAAGCCCTTGCATACCAAAATTTAATGCATTGGTGAATATTTATTTTCACCGAAATTTACATGTCCACAGCCATCATCAAGGGTCTGCACATGTGATGAGCCTTACGTGCAAAGTTAAATTAATCTAAAAGTTTGAAATGATGAAATCGCTTTCTAAGTGTTGGAGTTCTTCGTGATAAATCGAGTTCAAGGTTGAGATGTTTGCAAATTAAAATCTGTTGATGCACAAATCGGCGAGGACTTTGGTACAAGAGAAAGTGTCAAGTTTGTGACCTTTGCTAGATTGCTCTAGTCATTAGTGTGGATAAGTATGTAAATGAATAGAGATAGGGA